ATTTCCGTTTCTGATATTTTTACATCATCTTCAGTTATTCAAAGTATTCCCTACTAATATTTTGACCTACTGGAAAAATATTAAAAACTCAAATAACAATTTTCAGATTTACTTGAATTTTAAACCTTGCAATAAATTATGTAATCGTATAGAAAAATTTGATAAAAAGTAAGCTTTGATGTAGGTTAAAACATAATTTAATTTTGTTTGTACCAATTGACATTTTTTTGCATATAATTAATAGCTACCTATGTAAAATGCTAATTCGTTTCATGAACTCGTACATTAAAAACAATTTTTTGAATATTTTTACATATTCAATGATGATCAAACAAAAATATACATTTTACAGATTTACATAAAATGTATATTATTTTTAGTAAATTTCTATGAAAAGTCTTAATAAATCAATATCTATTAATTTTGTATTTCATTTTATTTTTTGTTAAGCAGAAATTAACGTACATTTTTTTTATTGCACGATGTAATCAAGTATCGCTTAATTAAATTGACTTTTTGTTTATGAAGCGGTTGTAGGTACCTTTTGTACGCGCTACCTATAAACTTTTTCTTCGTATTCCATCAATTTTTATTTTATATTATTTATCTCTGCAATCATAAAGCATTTTTTAACTTAATTAAAAATACATATATAATTATTAGTCAAATACATAACATTCATATGTTCGGTATTAAATATAAAAAAACCTACTCACAAAAGTCATAATATAATTCTGGAACAATTTTTAATTTCATGGGATACTAATGAGTTTTTATTAATTATTTGAAAACAAAAACAATATTTAATATTCAAATAAACAATTACATAAAATAATTGATAAATTTAACTCTATGTCGAATTCATTAAACGATTTTCTAGTTGATAAAAATATTTTTAAAATTATATTAAAAATAATTTAGTTCATTTATGTATTTTTTATGTTTAGTTATAAGTCAGATATAATTTATACCTAAATCCTTATATAATTTATGAGTCATAAATTATAACTTTAATAACTGACGACTAGACTATTTCTGAACCAAGATAGAATACCTACATTTGTATCTATGTGTAAATACAAAAAAATAATACCTGTAGTTAAAGGAGCCGAATACTATTCTGATGACAAAACATTTAATAATAATAAATATAGTGAATATTGAAGGGATTTTATTTATGCTATAATTTGTCACTCGTTTCACGTACCTGTTGGGTATGTAATAAATACGCATGGCTAAACGGTTCGATTACTGCATGCCAATAAGTATAAAGGTGTAAGTGTTTGTATTGTCAATATTTTTTCTTATAGAAACCAAATTGAAAAGGTTCTACAATACTGTCGGGGGGATTATTAAGGTCAATACTCAATAGAGTGACAACGGCATATAAAATGATTCATACATGATGACAACACTATTTTCTCTACCTACTGAATTCCAAATACAAATATTTACTTATGAGTGGAAAAATTGAATAGGTGTCCTGTGGATGTTTTGTAAAAAACGATTTCAATAATTTTTCATATCTTATTTCTATGTTATAATAGGTACTTTGTCAATTTTGTTTGTCGGTTGCTTGTTCAATATTCTTATGTTAACTCAAGTCTCGAACAATAATACGCTAACCCCGAACAGAGTACATTTGGATAATTGATAAATTTGTAACCCGTTGTTTCAAAATAATTTAACATATTTGGCTAGATGGTTTATTGCAGATATAAGGTAAATGTAAATATTATTTCAACCATCTTAATTTTAATAACGTATCGTTACATTCAGTAGTGTATCTTCAAATTTTTTTCGGGGAGTTTTTGAATTTTTCTAAAAAAATAAATGATTATATAATATTATAAAAATACACATAAGGTATGAATTAATAATTAATAATTATTCTATTATCAATATGAACACTAGTTAAGAGTTTGAACCAGATGATATACTCGTAAATGAATATTATTTTTGTCTTTACCTTCATATCAAGTCATTTATGACTTAAAAATATTTTTTTTCTTCTGGGGGTCGTGACCCGGGAACCTCTCCTCAAAAAAATTTAAAAAATACGCCATCGGTTGCGTTCAACGAAACCTGTGAATAATGTAATCATTCACAATTATTCTATTCCTCCAAATATTTATTAAGCAATTAAAGTATTAAAAAATATTCAACACACAACAATGGAACATTTAATAAAAAGTTCAATTATTACTCGGAAAAAAGAATCACGAGAAAATAGTTAAGCTAAATGACTGACGAAATTGACTATTTAGAAAATTATTCAAAAATTCATTATTAAAAAAAAATATCTTTAGAGTTTTAATCGTACGCGATTATTATTATTGTTATTGTTATTATTATTTATACGTTATCTGTTCGTGTGATTATTTTAGTCACGTAGGTATCGAAGTTAGTACAATGCACAGCGAGCGACTCCACAACTACAACATAAATAAAGTTATAAGTCCACTTATTGCTTTAACTCTATTTATTTAAGGGATTAATCCTAGCGATCCATAACAATATAGTTTTTAACTACATCATGAATTCTAATAATCATGAGCTCCTGCAAAATGAATAGAAAACGTGTGAAAATCCGTAATTTTTGTACGTACATTTTTCAAAATAAATAACTGTTCTTACAGAAAACGTTACCAAAATTGTTTCGAATAGGTGATATAATATAAAAATATATGATATTATGGGACGTCTGCGCTAGTTATAAATCTATATCAAAATGTATAGAACGTAAATTAAAGACCACTTTTTACATGTTTTCAATATAACACTTTAGACATTCAAGTTATCAATGTACCAATTTACGTCTTCAGTAATTATACTATTTACCATATACGTGGACACGGTAGATTAAATCTCGTTACTTAATTCTGATTCATTAGAATTGTATATTTGTACGTTCATATTTTATGGAGGTGCCTAGATGATAATAGTATATACACGCGCAGTGCCCGTAGTTAATGATTAGATTCAAAGGCTTAAATATTTAATTTAGTTTACACAAAATGTATAAACATTCGACGCAATAAAAAAAAAAAAACAATATTAAATGTAACAGTAATATTAGTATATTTAATAAGAAAAATAATATTAAACTTTATTTATCAGTTGTTCATGGTACATTTAAATTCTACACGAAACCAATGTAAACAAAAATTCTATATCTTCGAGAGTTAACATTTAATAAAACAAAATAATTACGTTTTATATTTTTGCGAAGTCTATATTTTACAGAATTGAAAAAAAATATTTACATATGTTTTTTAACGGGATTCGAATTAATACGTACTTAAGATTAAATATTTTACCATCAATTTTTCATACATTTTAATTGAAATGTACATCGTAAAATCAACGCAATATTAGCACCTACGTTTCAAATGTACAGTTGTAATCCTATATACACAAATTAAATTAGCATCCTTAACAAAATTATAGGTATATGGTATAATAATTTTACTCTAAGTAATAGTATAAATCGAATTTATAGCTGACACAGCTTCGTTTTAGAACAATAGAAATAAAAACTAAATGCCTTCAAAATCCGTACTACATTTGTTATCTAGAGGTGGAAAAACGATACGTGAATCCATTTGTCGTCGTATAATATATTAATAATTATAATATTGAATAGTCAAAACGACAACCATAATACTATAAAAAAAAAAAAAATAATCGTTTCTATAGCGCCAGCGGCAGAAGTCTTGCCACACGCACTTAACTACGTGCATCGGCGGACAATGTACCTACGTAGTACACGGATTCGCGTAGCCATGTATCAGGATATCGATTATTTTTTTCGTTTCCTTCCGACCTGTTGAATTGTTATTAAGACTGTAATATTATTCGCTGACGATGCAGTCCGTCCAGGTGTTATTACATGTTAGGTTATTACAAAGATATTGTTGTAATAACTCGACGATATTGGACCATCCGCACAAGCGAATTTTTAGACGTGTTCAGACGATCGCGAATCGGTAGTGTCCCCCCGTACGGCGACGTCGATCAACATCGGTAGAAACAAGTACAATAGTATTTTTATTAATTTCCATTTCAACGGATTCAAAGAGCCGATTACAACAGTACAGCAATGTAACGCGCTATAATACCGGACTGTGGGAAATTGGAAAATTGTGTTCGCCGTAAAAGTTGTCACGTCGGCGGTATTGACTATTGATTAATGTTCGTCGAGACACTGGGCGGCGGAATGATAACTTGGAGGACGGGGACGGGCATAGTAACGTTGGAAGCACTGCAGTGCCGCCGGCCGGCCGAGAGTGCCGCGGCGAACACCGATCCGAAAGCAGCGGCGGCGGCGGCGACGAGCCTGTGAACGACCGCGCTTTGCTATTGCGCGTGCGTGAGCGAGCGTTTGTAGTCGGTGTTGGCGAACAAACGACGGGTGCGTGCGCGTGCGAACCGTCGTCACTGTCGCCGCCGCCGCCGCCACCGGGCCGCGTACGGTACGTACTTCGTGGTGCGCATGCGCGTCATCGTACATCGTTGTTTTATCACCGCCGCCACCGCCGCCGATCCCGAGCCGCTTGCAGTACATGCAAACAAGCGGCGCTCGGTAGCAGCAGCAGTGTCAGTCCACTACACCAGTCCGTGTATCTCGCGTGCGGTTTTCCGAAAGTTCTTCTTTAATTTTTTTTTTTTTTATTACTTATCGTTGTTCTTCCGTTTTCGTTTCTCTCTCAGCGATCTCACTCGTCTTCGCGCGACCTGTGTCATTCGCCATACCGCACCTGCGTCGGAATCGCAGCACACACGCGAACGAGGTACGTAACACATCACACGGTCGCACACCGTCGTCTCGCGCGTACACGACGCGAGCGCGCGCGCGCTCACATACGCACCATCAAACAGCAGTTCAAAGACGCCAACGCGCACCGCCATCGGTTTTTCACCGTCAGTTGTGTAGTCTTCGTCGCACCACACGCGTAAGTAATACCATGCGCGTCTACGCACTTTTTTGCGCGCGGCGACGGTGACGCTTTTGCCGGGCGTTTACGCGCAACGTCGTAAAAGTCTTGTTCCGGTGCCTTCGGCCGCTACGGTGCGTTCTTCCGTGTTGGTTTTCAGCCGCTTTGCCCAGCAGGTGGTGTCCCGGAGTAACGCGCGCGTCGTCCCGGCAGTCGTGTGCGTGCGCGCGCGTGTCCGCTTACGCGTTCGTGTACCGGCGCGTGAATTTTCGTCGCGCTCCTGCGCGTCCGTGCTTGCGAATGTTGCGGGCGCGCGCGCGCGCGCGCGCTTTGAACACCACCCGTGTTCGACGACAGGTGGTGATGATGATAGTGGTGTCTGTGATTGGTGATTACGGTGGTGTTCGAAACGCGTTCGTGTCTCGGCGCCGTTGCCCAGGCGATTCGTCCGCGCACCCTCAGGTCCAAACCAATAATCATTTTTGCACAATACTTTCAGGATTACCGTGAAATCGGCTCCGGGCTTCTTTTATCACCGTGCGTCGATTCGTTGTTTTTCGATTTTCCGATGACATTTTATGATCACTTTTAGATTTTCTGTCTAGTTTTTTTTGTCATTAGATAAGTGAAAGTTATTCATTTCTGAAAACGATTATTATTTGCCAGAAATGAAGTATAATTTGAATTTTGATTTATCATTAATTGTTAATAGCGCTTAATCTCTATGTATTATGTAATTAGACAGCTACTTAAGCTTTATGAAAATGTTTACTACTAGCTTTACAATTTTGTTTCACTCGCTTTTACAATTTTTTTTACGATTAATTAGCAATTATACATAATGCATACTTAAGATACTTAGGTATATATATATTCTTAATATTATATTAGTGTGCCTCAATATAGGTTTAGGCTATACTAAATCTTATAATAATAATATTATTAAATAAGTATCTAAATAATTAGTACATCTAATATCTAATAATTTTAACAATAAACAGTAAAAACGCTTTGTGTTCAAATTATTAGATTGTAAACAATCTTGTTAATTTATTTCAAATTAACTAAATGAAACCAAATTAGATATTTTACACACAATTTAACAAAAATATATATTGTTTAGTTTTATTATAAGACTTAAGTGAACTTTACAAAATCAGATTTTTTCTGGTAGGTACCTATATATATTTTTTACTAAATTAAAATACATATTACTAAACTATTATGCTACAGACTTTTATTTCTAAGAAAATGCCTATAATTTTTGGATAGATTATATGCATAAAATATACTTAAATTTTAAAATAGTAGTGTAAAGTTGATAAATATGACAAGTCTTAACATTAACAAATAAAATAATTTTTTTCGATTTTAAAATTAAAACATATTCATTATTGGTAAATCTATATATATATAACTGAAAACAAGCAAAAGTGGAAATCTTTATTACGGGTTGTCTTCAATACTACTTATTCAATTGTCATGCAGTTTTTTATAAATTAAAAAGGACACCACAGATTAGGTTTTAGGCATAAATTTAATCCGATGAATAATTATTAATTAAAATAAATGTGTAAATTATATACCTTACATATTATGAATGTAAAGTACAATTTTTTTTTATAAAATAGTGGAATAACTCCTGGGTGAAGTAGGGTCATTCAGCTTGTTTTGTATAAAACAGTTAACTAAGAAAAAGAGTTATAAACTATTATATTAGTTTGTCAATAGATTTATTAGACAGAAAATGTCATGTTTGTATCTTACTTTTCAATATTTTTTCAATTATTTTTTCAGACACTTCAATATGGATCAAGAAAGTGGTAACCGAAGGAGAAGTTCCAGATTAGCTGCAAAAGGTGTTACAACGCCAAAAACTGAAAATGTTGTAAAGAGATTAATAAAAAGTACTGAAAAACCTAAAAGATCAAAACGCAAAACAACTGAAGAAGCAATTGAACTGCCCGAATCTAAAAAAACTAAAACTGAAAATACTGAATCTTCCACAAAGGTACCTAATGCCATTAACATTGAAGAAAAAAAGGTACTTGTCGTTAGCTTGGTTAAAAGTGACGCTGTTATCAAGTCTCCTAAGATTGAAGACAATGAAAAAACCAATGTCATGCCTCAATCCAATGTTGAACAAAATGATAAACCAGTTGTCGAAGAAAAGACTGAAGTACCCCTCCAAGATTCTAAAGAACAAGAGGTCATTGAAAATATTCCTGTTGATAAAGATTATAAAGAAGAGGTTAATTCACCCCTAAAAGTTGATGAAAAACAACCTGAAGATTTAGAAGAACCTATGATTATCGATGACCTTGTAGAGTCGGAAGAACCTATTAAAATTGAAGAACCTACTAAAATTGAAGAACCTACTAAAATCGAAGAACCTACTAAAATCGAAGAATCCATTAAAATCGAAGAACCTTTTAAAATTGAACAATCTATTAAAATCGAAGAACCTGAAAAGTCAGAAGAACCTATAAAAATTAAAGAACCTGAAGAGTTAGAAGAACCCATTCAAATCAAAGAACCTGAAATTCCTGAACAGCAAAATAATGCATCTATAAAAGAACCAAAAAAAGAATCATTCGCATCTGAAAATATGAATGGTAAAAGTGATGAAAACGAAACAGTAGAGCCGGTGAATGAAATTGTAAACAACGATATTGAACAAAGTGTAACAGTTAATGATATTTTAACATCTAATGGGGAAAAATCAGTCATAGAGTCGGAGGTCATAGAACCCATAAAAGTTTTCTGTGATGACAAGAACCCTGTTGAATCTGAGGTGATTACAGTTAAGACTGTAACTGCTCCTACTGCTGACGTAATTACCACCAACAATGATGCATTGATTGTTGAACAAGTCGATAAGGAGTCAGAAAAACCAGATGATAGTGTGATCGATTCTACGTCAACTGATGAAAATGTACCAAGTGTGGAACAATCAAAAGTTGTAACCTAATTTTTTGCCATTATTCGTAAGTACCTAATTGTTATATTATATTTTTAAATTCCTTGCCCAATTTTATTTTTGTAATTGTTTATGTTCAAGATAATTTAAAACTATTACAAATTGTTTTCCTTACATTAAAAATAAAATCTAACAAGTTTTCATTGAATAATAATAAAATAATATATAAATAAATAAACAAATAGCTTATATATAGAAATAAATAAATAAAAGTTAAGCTTAGAGTATTATAATATTTGTAAAGTACAATCAGTTTTAAATTAAAAATTCATCATCAGGTGTATACAAAATTAATACAATTGCTTTTATTTATTTAATTCTATTTTTTATTATTTTATTAGTAAAATAATGCTTATATTTTGGCACATAATAATTTTTAAATTTATCTTATGTATATAATAACAGTTAAAATAAAATTGCCCATTTAACATTTTATTCATCATGTTATGATTTGTTTACAGGTTTTGTAATGAAGAACATATAGACTTGCATTGACTTTCTACTGATAATATATAATAACCGTGCTCAGTAGTTAACATATACTTATTTTGTTTCTTTCCTTTACATTATATACAATTTTCATTTATCAAGATTGTAATAAATATTAAGAGTTTTGTGTTAATTTTTTATTTCAAATGGCCATTATTAAAAACATCATTTTTATGTAGAATTATTACAAAATCCATGTTGAAATAATTGTATTTATAGTATTAAAAAAATAAATTTTATTTATACAACTAGAAAAAAAGGATAAAATATTATTGGTACTAATATTTGTAAGCATATTTTGGTTTTAATGTCTAATTGTCACTGTATTTTTTAACGAAAATCTTAAAACTACATTTTCAATTTAAACACTGTTGTCAGTGTTACTAATTTACCTAAAATGTCAAGTTAATTTTACTAAAAGTTATTTATATATTACTTGTAAGTTCTTTGTTAATTTCAACCATGAAGAACTCTGTATATGCTTTTTAATATAATAACCAAAACCTCATAATGATATTACTAGAAATTATTTCTCAATTGTTAGCAAGTTTATTGCAAGTTCAAAAGTTAACAACTCAAAATGTACCACTTATTAATTTTTAGTAATTCTTAAGTAATCATTTTGTAATATATCATACAAGACGTGTAAATAATTAAAATTATATTCTTTTAAAATAAGCAGAATTTGAATTGATTTAGGAAGTATTAGTGAACTTATATCTTTTATTAGAAGTGTTTTTCTTTTTTAATGATTATATATATATCAAGTGAAATATGTTTTTTTTTTTTTGTACAAAAAAGATGAAATTATATTTAATAATGGACGTATTTGTACTATTTGTTTGAATTATTATTTATAAAAACATTTTTGTTGTGATCTTTAATATTCAGTGTTATTGTTTTATTTTATTATCTTTATATTAACCTGCTACTCTTATCAAACACTCTTTAAATTTATACAATGGGACCTAAAGTATACTTTGATAATATATGCATATCAATGATAAATTGCGATGGTTGATATAAATTTGGTACTAAAATATTGTACGTATAGTAACTATTTTCTTTTTTAATTTATATCAGAAAATCAATATTTTAATTACAAAAATGGTGTCTACACTATACTTGAGATGTTAAACATGGTCATAGTTTCTGACAAAAACTGCATCAAAGTATGCAGTGTGTTATGTATTATACGTTTCGTCATTCGTACAAATTTAATTTCAGTTATTTTATTAATTATTTCATCAAATACATTATAGTTTTTATATTTTATTAATGTAATGTAATCATTTTTTTTGGATTTTTGTGTTGACTTACAATAAACATTTACTATTTATATTGACAAATGTCTTATTCATTCTACATTTGTAGGCAATAACAACTTAATTAAATTAAGCGTATCAATACTGATAAGTTAATAATATGTATTTAAAACAATTTTCGTATTTCATAAACATACATTCAATGATAGAAACATGAATTAATATCCGAAGAAATTTGCCAAAAATAATATTTTTATTTTCTTTGATGTTATTTCTTTAAAATAATTTTTGTTTTATTTAAACGTACGTACGTACAATTGAAGATGATAATCAGTTCAAATTGGGGGTCTTACTTTTTTTTACATCAATACATAATTAAGTGTTCCGTGACATCGAGCACACGTGAATGTAACAAAATAAAATACGTGAGTTAATAAACGCTAAAACACGTGAACATTTAGTCGAAGTTATGGTCACGTGAATTAGTAGTTAATCGTGTAAATAATTTTGATTGGTTTGAAAATGTATATTATTTATTAATTATATCATAAAAAAAAAAAATTTTAAAAAAATAATTATCAACCAACGATTTCTAGAATGTTGTCATATACCGCAATACAAACAAGATGTGAATACAAAAATTCTCGGAGATACATGTATATAGTAATCCACGTAAATAATAATATTAATTTACGGACAACTTTAAGATACATGTCTTAAAAAGCAAATCCTAATTTCATATGATTACGTGAAATAAGAAGCACTAATTCAAATAAACTTTAAATGTATTATTAGTTACATATAGTATTAACCATGATGATAATAGTAAAATATTATGTTATAATAATTGTTGTGTTGAATAAAAATATGAATAGTTGTGAAAAGGTTGCACTTATTTATATTTCTTATAAAAGTAAATGATTTTAATCATAAATATTATAAATTACATATTGCTTACAATAATTTTACAAGCTTATATGCTACATTATTTTACATGTTCTTGTTTATATCAGTTAAAATATGCAAATATGTTTATTAAAAAAAAAAGATATAGTAAACGCCTTACAAAGCAAAAATTCATTCAACAGTTTAATTTTTTAACTCAATTTTAGAATTATTTTAGCATTTGAATGTTGTTTTACAATAACAAGATGAACAGTTTTAAAATATTAAAAGAATACAGTTCACAGTTATTTAATAAAGTAAAATTTTCAGAAACTTAAGTGATGTATATTTCTACATTTTATTTTTAAATACACACAAATTATAAGTATGAAAAGTCGCATGAATAGTATCAATTATGGGTCAGGTTTCATTGTATTATCATAATTCAGAATTTATTCATTTAGTTATGTTTTATTTTATTGTTATTCTTATATTAGAATTTATCGAAAAAATACTGTATATATAATATATATATATATATATATATATATACTGTTATATAATAGGGGTTTTTTTTGTAATATAGTACCCTCAATGTATTAATTTATGTACGCCAATAATTTAGGTGAAATTTGGAAAGCCCACTCAATCCCATCTTATGTAGAATATTATTTTTATAGAAAATATTATAATCTATCATTAAGTTCTTTACATGTTCACGCTAAATCTTATAGTTTCTGAATTAAACAAGAAAACTACCCTCTTTTACCATATTTCAACCCTAATGCGGCACCAAAGGTTGAGGAGATCTTCCAAATTTCAACAAAATTATTTATATATACGACTTAACAAATTAGAGAGGCACTATATTAATTTTTCAAAATATAATATTTCACCTGTATAAATAATGAGCTCCCTAATACATATACCTATTTATACATTTATATAGTTTGTACTTTGATTTAACTTGTGAATGATCTAAGTGCAAATATATGTTACGGGACTTCTGAACAACTTATTTAACCAATTTATACTTATTAATTCTGTATAGACTTTTAGGAAGAATTTTTAAAATTACTTTTATTATTCACCACTCATACCATACTGCTTTATTTACCGTGACAAAGTTTTAATCCCAGTCTGAAGTTTCTGTGGACAGCCACTTCATTGTAATTAAATTATAAATATATAAGTTCAATGTATATATTTTTTCTTCTGTATCATACAGAAGAACTGTATATACAGTTAATAATAAAAATGCATTTAACTCTGAATTTAATTATTGACTGTGCTTTCCGATTACGCTCTTGTGTTTAACTTCCTCAAAGTTTTTTAAACCATTACAGTGCATCTGCTTTAACTATCAGAATATGGCTTCGACTGAAACTCGATGGGTTGTAAAACGGAAATCGTCAATGATTGACCATTATGTGACGACAGTATTGACCTCAACAATGCGATACGTTCCTTTGCTACATGAGTACTCGTCGAAAGAAAATGTCCATTATAATAAACCGTGGTGGGTACTATATGTTAAATAAATTTTAAAAAAAATATTTTAAAACCCAGTTTCGTATTATATATTTTTATAAATTCATATTTATAAATATTTAAATAGACTAATAATATATTTGTTTGGAATGATTAGTCTGATAGTATGTACTTCTAAAAACCTGTTTCTATTTCACGTATTATATAAAAAAAATTATATTTTTCACATAACTATTTAGTTGTTACACATGTTTCATAAGTAAATGAGTGCATTTTATTCCATTGTAAAATCGAGTAAAAATAAAATAACACGTTAAACTTCATCAGGACCGGCGTAAGGCTAAATGACGCCCCAGGCCAAAATGCCAACTGACCTTTTTTTCATACAATAACATGTACTATCATATTACTTAAAAAAAATGTTGTTCGTGGACAGAAATACGGAAAAATTATATAATATGCTCAACTTGTACATATTTTATTATCGTCTAATTTTTTAGTCGCGAATCATAATAGCTTGACGCGATCCTGATTAAACGATAACAAATATTCGGGAATTTTTTTATTTATAGAGCAACATATAGGTATGACAAAAATTTCTATGCTAAACCATACTAAATATACTTAAAATATACTTATATTATTTTAATACATGGTTAAACATAATGACCATTATAATTATCAATATTATAATACAAAGTTATAGGTATTTTATATTAAAAAAAATAATAATAATATTATCGATAGTGTAAAATTGTAAAAATCAATTTCGGCACCCCTCTAAAAATGGCGCCCTAGGCGACCGTTTGAGTCGCCTTACCCTCACGCCGGCTCTGAACTTCATGTAGATACTAAAGTTTATGTATATATTTATTAATTGTTGAATGTTAAGTAGCGTATTTTGTAAATGTCGTTTCCATCAATGCAATGGAAAATATACCATGGTGGTATAAATTCCTTTAAAAAGTTCAAAATTTCGATTTTCAATAATCTGAATAATACATAAAATACGTAGTATTACGTAGTAGTGACTCGTTACAAACGTAGAATCAAGTTAGATCACGAAGAATGATTATTGGACGAACAGTACACTGGTGAATAAAAATGAATGGATAAATAAATACTAGCATAAATTATGCATTGTTATTGAAAATGTTCACAACAGTTGCAAACACGTTCCTTTGTCTATGGAGTACACGCAGCATATTATTTACAATTTATAGTTGCTGCTCAGGTACGTACAGGCCCGTATCTAGCGAGAAGGGAGCCGGGGATTAAACTCCGGGCGTAAAATTTTACAAATAATCGAGGACCTTAATTTCTTTTTAATTACTAACCTTGTAGACAAAAAATGTAATTCTTATG